CTCTTATGGAAGCAGGAGGCCCCTTACCAACCCTGGTGCCAAGATATTTCGGGCTTTAAAGGTAAAATCACAACACTTGAAATTCAGACTGGGAGCTGGCAGATTATTACTGCTAGAGCCTACTGAAGCCCCTTCTGCTTGCTTCGCTAAACACTCAGTTCTGTCTCCACCTTGCCATCAGTCTAGCAATTTCAAATTCATGAAGTACAGGACATAGGAGGAAGCAGGAAGACAACTTTTCCATTAAGCATCAAAATCAACCCACACATCCATGGGAGCAGCAGGTCATGTCAATCAGTTCCTGCTGCTTGCTCAAAATACTTTTAAAAGAATAGGGCTCAATTTGCATTTATCAATCTGTCACAGGTAGCCACAGTGACCATGACTTGTTACTGAAGTGTGAAATGCAAGAAGGAAGATTCATTCACAATTGTGTCGGGTATTTTTGGATTAGGTCACGGGACGTAGAGATGTTGATAAACAATGTCTTAAGACATGTTCATTATCCGTCAGCAAATATAATTTCACTCGGGACTGAATGTTATCAGCTGGAATTTCCCTGCCCATTTTTTCCAGCACCATGAATACAGGTCTTCTTTGACTTTGACAAACAGTCAAAATAGAGTTTCCAACCTTTTTATGCTTTTGAAATTCCTACGACTTAAACACCAAGACTTCAAAGAGTGAAATGCTTCCAGAAGACCCGCTTATAACCCTAAAATCTTGAGCATGTGTCACTCCTGAGAAGTGAAATTATAAACTGGACCACAATAGCCATATTAATTTAGGCTGCAGTTTACTACTCCCAGATACCATTATTAAAATCGCCAAGAGTGAGAAAGATTTAAGGCAACTATTTTAATAGGTGATGAAGTTGGGTATTGGGTATGTGGTGAGTCAGTGGCAAAGCAGTTGACCCATTTCTTGTTCTTATGTCCAACAAACTTGGGGGCTAATTCACACATGTATTAATGCCTGCAGTAGCAGCACATGGTGACTTTCATGTGCGACAGCACCCACATCATGTACTGATGGACTAGGCACGGGCACTAAGTCATTGCTCACACCATGGTGTGATGACATAGTGACCTGCAATTTGGGTGAGGAGGGCGAGACACTTATGACAGCCCTGCATTAACTTTCACCCATAACTCATCCTGTAGCTCTGCGCTGCAGCCCAAGGCAACTGTAAGATGGCTGGGATTTTTCAATAATATCTCCAGATTTACCAGATTTCTGTACCAGATCTCAATAAATATCTTCACAGTGCCTTCAGATCGATCTGTTAATCGTGTTAGCCTTAATCCTTGAGAAACTTACCTGCACTTGAATTCCATTCAGATTCACAGAATTAAAATTAGTTGCAACTTGCTACAAGGCAGATGCTATTTGGACTGGTGTGAGGAAGATGTTAAGTTTTATATTAATGCTTGACTCTTTATTACTTTAGACAGTGAAACAGTGTCTTATCTAAAGCTATTCTGTTAGCATCATTCTGGAGTGGGAATTTGAAGCTGAGTCTACCCTATGCACTATTCTGCACAAATTCTTCTTAATTAGGGCCAAACTAGATGAGATGCTGGAAGATCTCTGGCCCACTTTGTATTGCTGTTGTGGAAGGGGGTGAGATTAGGATCAGGGCTGCAGCCAGGGGTAAGGACGACATAAGTCTTACAGAAACCAAGTGAAGTCCTAAACAGAACTATGCCCTTCTAAACCCATTGAATTCAATGAGGCAGATGCACTGCACTAGCACTTGTTCAGAGTTGTGACTAGACTAAAATTAGGCTGCCGTCCTATACCTACTTCGAAGCAGGTGCCATAGAAACCAGTAGGTCTTGATCAGACTGACAGGCCTCTAATCCTAAATCTTGCAGAAATCAACGGGGCTTCTAGGAACCAAGCTCTTAGCCACAATTTCACTGTATTTATTCCAAAGAAGAGAACGAGATAGAATGTATACACCGCCCTTCACTACCTGAAGGAGTCTCAGAGTGCTTTACAATCTCCTTTCCCTTCCCCTCCCCACTACAGATACCCTGTGAGGTAGATGGGGCTGAGAGAACTCCTGAGAGAACAGCTCTAAAAGAACTTGTAACTGACCGAGGTCACACCAGCAGCTACATGTGGAGGAGTGGGGAATCAAACCTGGTTCTCCCAGATTAGAGTCTGCGCTCCTAACCACTACACCAAACATAAGATGACTATCTTTTAAAAAGTTATACACCAAGAATAATTGTTTCTGAACATAACCATAATGTGTATGTGAATGCAAGACACCCCCCCCCTTTAATGACCTACCTGGAGAAAATAGTCTTTCTTTGGAGTAAATACTGTACTTGTTGATTGCCAGTTTGGTGTAGTGGTTAAGTGTGTGGACTCTAATCTGGAAGAACCGATTTGATTCCCCACTCCTCCACTTGCACCTGCTGTGACCTTGCGTCAGTTACAAGCTCTGGCACAGCTGTTCCTGAAAGAGCAGTTTGTGTCAGAGTTCTCTCAGCCCCACCTACCTCACAGGGTGTCTGTTGTGGGGAGGGGAAGGGAAAGGAGTTTGTAAGCCGCTCTGAGACTCCAAGTGAAGGGCGGGGTATAAATCCAATCTCTTCTTCTTCTTGTGTTGAGTAAACAATTAACTGGAGTACGATTCCCCCCTCCCCTTCTTTATGTGGGATTTGGCTGAGGGCTGTGGCCAAAGTAAGTAAACAATCAGTGTTTTGTGTATACTGCAGTCCTGTGTATACTTACTCAGGTGTAAGTTCCATAGTAAACAATGCGGCTTTCATCATATCATATCAAATCCCTGAGACCTGAACTCTTAGGGCTGGTCTACAGCATAATAAGGCAACGAAATTCTAATGTGGCAAAATGGACAGTACCATCTCAGAGTATGGGGGGGGGGGCACATTTTTAACACTACCCCATGTAAAGATTGCCTGTAAATTAAAGACAACCCCCCCCCCCTGCACTTCAGGGAGAGAAGTTCAATCCTATCCCTTTCCTTTCTGTACTAGTTTTTCATTTTCTGGGAATAATGAATACGAGCCAGTTTTGAAAAAACAAATATACTCTTCTTCAGTCCCATACCTCCTTCAGATGTTTGTACAGATCAGGGCTCAGCTAGGCTTCAGTCATAAACACACAGGCTCAGAAGGAAGCCCTCTAGATATCAGTGCGGCTTTCTAGTAATTTGAACCTGTGCAGGGCCGTAGCCAGGATTTTTTACTTCAGGGAGCACACACACACTCAGGCTGTGTCAGGAATGACAAGAGAGTAAAAGTCTTTAATAAGTGGTGAGAGAGAGAGAAGGTGAGAGGCAAGGGCTCCGACAGGCAGGGCAGGGTGACGTCGCAGCATAGCCAGGCCCGCGAGAAAAAATAAACCAGCTGGATGGGAAGTCGGGGGGGCTGGGCGGTAAGCTGGGGGGCCAGGCCCCAAGATGCCCCACTGTAGCTACGGGCCTGAACCTGTGTCTCCCCAATCCTAATTTGACAGGCTAGGCACATTTTGGTGGTAGTACATTCAGATGGGTTGGTCTGAAGCACCAGAACAAAGTTTGAGTCCAGTGGCATCTTTAAGACCAACCAGGTTTAATTCAAGGTATAAGTTTTCATGTGCAAGCACACTTCTTCAGATGGTACTAAATCAAGGGATGTTCTGAGGCCTAGGGTTACCAGATGTCCTCTTTTTTTGGTGCTCATCCTCTTTTGAGCCCTTTTTAAGAAACTTATGAAAATGTCCTCTTTTGGGGTTGGAAGGTTAGGAATATGCAATTAGACAGCTTAAATAGTAGGGGTATTTAAAATGAGATTTGCCATAGTGGTCGCTTTTGAATAGTCAGTTGGGAAATACGTCCTCTTTTTTGTTTTTCAAAATATGGTAACCCTACTGTTGCCTGCCTCTGTCTAGCAACCCTGGACTCCACTGGTGGTCTCCCATCCAAAACCTAACCAGGACTGACCCTGCTTAGCTTCAGAGACTTAAGGAGATCGGGCTAGCCAGTTTGGTGTAGCAGTTAAGAGTGGCAGATTCTAATCTGGGATGACCAGGTTTGATTCCCCACTCCTTCACATGCAATTTCAGAGCTGTCCCCTCAAGGGCAGTTCTCGAGAGAGATTGGATTTATACCCTGCCATTCACTTGGAGTCTCAGAGCAGCTTACAAACTCCTTTCCTTTCCCCTCCCCACAACAGACACCTTGTGAGGTAGGTGGGGCTGAGAGAGCTCTTTTAAGAACTGCTCGTGAGAGAACAGCTTTGAGAGAACTTGTAACTGACCCAAGGTCACACCAGCAGCTGCAAATGGAGGCATGGGGAATCAAACCCAGTTCTCCCAGATTAGAGTCCGCACACTTAACCACTACACCAAACTCTCTCAGCCCCACCTACCTCACAGGGAGTCTGTTGTGGGGAGGGGAAGGGAAAGGAGATTGTAAACCGCTGCATGACTCCTTTGGGTAGTGAAGGACAGGGTATAAATCCAATCTCTTCTTGACTCCTGACAGAGGCAGAAATAAGTGCTACAGAAAACCAACAATATTTACAGTGCAATCCTACACAGAATTAACACTGCTCTAAACCAACTGACTGAATGGATTCAGAAGTGAAGAATTCTGATTAAAATGCCATCGTTACTGTCTGCTTAAGAGACTCCAGCGCGAAAGGCTCCGCGCATCTCGGACCGCTCACGCTCTCTAAACCTGGCCTACCTCACAGGGTTGTCGTGAGGATAAAACGGAGGAAAGGGGTGAGGACGCGCGCCGCCCAAGATTCTTCGAACGAAAGACGGGACAGAAGCGTCCTGGTTAAAAATCAGCGGCGACGTTGGGAGCCCTGTGAGAAGCTACGCACGTGGCGTTCCCTTTACTCACCGAGGATCGTGGGAAGGGGCGTGGCTTCCTGGACCCGCCCCTCCCCCTGAGGCGCGCGAGTGGGCGGGAAAAAAGGCTCAGGTAGGAGGCCGGTCAGCGCGCGCGAGGTTGGGCCAGTCGCTGACGACGAGGCGTCTGAGGCGAAATCTCTCGCTCCTCGCCGCTCTCCTTCTCAGCGCACTTTCTCTCGCGTTCTCTTTCCCGGCAGTCCAGTGGAGATGCGGGCAGCGTCGCCGGCTGCCCTGCTGGCGGCTGTGGGCGCGCTGGCGTGGCTGGGTCCGCCGCCCGGCGGAGACTTCTCCTCCAAAGGCGGCTCGGCGATGGTGGCCTCCGCGCAGACCGTGTGGACGGCGTGGCTGAACGTGACGTACACCCTGCCCGGCATCAACGAGACCATCCGGACGGTGGGCGAGAGCGGAGTCTTCGGGCAGGACTCACCGCTGCGCCGGGTGTCCGGGCTTCTGGTGGCGCCCGACAGGCCCGACGGCCTCAACGCCTGCAGCCCCCACACCAACTTCAGCCGGGCGCCTACCGGCGGCCCCTGGCTCGCTCTCATCCAGCGCGGCGGGGGCTGCACTTTCGCCGAGAAGATCCGCCTGGCCGCCGAGCGCGGAGCCATCGCCGCAGTCATCTTCAACTACGGCGGCGGGACAGGCAACGACGTGCAGCCCATGACCCACCCGGGTGAGAGCGGGGTGTGTGTGTGTGGGGGGGGATTGGCTGATTGGCTAGCGCCTGGGACCAATCGCGGAGCCGGGAATTGGGGTCGGGTCGCTCCTCGTGGCGGCGATTCGGTTGGGTGTTCAGTCAAGCGTATTTGTGTGTGTAGTGTACGCAACGCATTTGTACACTGGTATGTTCACAAAGCCTTGCGTTGCTATAGAGACACACATGTGTGTGTTCTGTACCAGCATATGTCTGTGTGTAACAGCTACACAACCACATATATGCATGCGTATCTGTGTCTACATACACAAGGCCATTTGTTGGCTGCATTTGTCAGAGGCTGAAGGTAAGAGGTGCCTGGCTGGATCAAATCAGTGCTCTGTCTAGTGCAGCATCCTGTTTCTCACAGGAGCCAGCCAGTTGCCCTGGAGGCCAGAAAGCAGGCCATGGAGGCTAAGGCCTTCCCCTCGTGTTGCTTCCTGCTGCTGATATTCAGAGGTTTGCTGTCTAGCTGTGGAGGTTCCCTTCAGTTGCCTTCTTGTCCAGTAGACTTTGATGGATCTTCTATGAAGCTTTTCGATCCCCATTTAAAATTATTTGTGCTAGTCTTCACTAAATCCACTCAGAACAAACTCCAACATTTATTTGCTTGTGGGCTGAAGAAGTACTTCCTTTTGTCTATCCTGAATGTGTTGTCCATCAACTTCATCCAGTGCCCCTACATTCTAGTATTGTGAGAAGGGGAGAAAGGCTACTCCTTGATTACTACTTTTTCCACACTATGAATAATTTTATGAAACCTCCTGTATTACTTTGTTGTTGCTGCTGCTGCTGCTTTTAACTAAACAGGCTAGGGTGCTCAAAGGACTTTACAAAAATCAAGTTAAAAGTAGAAATCTAAATAAAGTTAAAACAGCTGTATATCATCTGTAGTGGCAATGATAAATAGTAAAGAACGGGACATGATATTCAACAGAAAATAAAGGACTTTTAAATGCACATGCAAAGTAAGGGCTCTGAAATTAATCAAGTTCCCAAACATACAATATATCACACCTGGTGTCTCTGTGTAAGAACAGATTAAAGCAACATTGAACAAGTGCAAAAGTGAGGTAAGGAGCCTAACAGGAACGTTGCATATGCTTGGGGGCCATCAGCCCAAAACGCAAAATTATGCACAGTGCAAGACTGTTATGCAGAGTGGAACTGGGGTCCCATTTGGCTTGGTGGTGTTTACTCTGACAAGGAGCAGCTCAACAGGATATCATGCACAGAAAGACCATTCCAAAAGTCTGTTGTTGTGACCATTTCATCTGGAGATTTTTGTAACAAAAAAGATGGCCATCCAGCTTACTGTTGAGTAATGCAACTAGAAATACAAAAGCCTGCCAGAGAACATTTGGCAACTGCTTATGGGGACAGATCTTCTGCAGCAGGCTACAAAAAGGAAGCTTTTGTATCTTGCAAGTGAGTTGGTTGTTCCCTTCCTTCCCACTCTCTTTGCAGGCTGTTAGTGGACCACAAAGAACGAACCTAAAGTGTGTGCCTAGTGGCTTGTACAGAGTTTTTAAAAAAATCACCCCTGAGCAATCAGACAAGGAAGTCTTTATGTGGTAGAAGAGAGCAGGTTTTCTCCCCCTTTCCTGTATATGGGCCACTGTGAGCTAACCTGAACAATGTGTCAGCATGCATTAATAGCTCTGTGAGCTGCACGAACTTGCAGAAGAAACAAGAGGAAAGTTCTCCAAAGTTGCCATTTTCCTTTTTCACAAGAAACTGATTGTTTTCTTTTGCTGGTTTTCTGAGTTTGAGGAAAACTCATTTCTTATGAAAGGGGTTGCAACATGAAAATGGCCTTTAAAAAGAGCTACAAGATTGAAATGTATTGATTAAACAACAAAAATACTCCACCAGCATGCTTTACTTCACTCACATTCAAACATTGAAACAGCTTTACCATTCATTTTTTTAAAGTTTAACTTTATCGAGATCTTAAAAAGTTACAGTACCAGGTTCTGCAGAAGCTTTATCCATTGATCACACTTTTTATCCTGGTTATGTAAAACAGGGTAGCTGATCTTGGGGTGTGTGTGTCATGGAGAACATCATACTGCAAGGTGTGTGAGGAAGAATGGACAGGCATTCCCTTCAGTCTTTGGGGTCATCTTCAGAATCTGCTCCTTCTGTGTATAGTGACCATCTGTATGTCTTCGAAATTGACAAGCAATGCTGGAAACTAGTGAAGTAGATACTAAGTTTTGAAGGAATATATTTATATGTACCAGTTACCTCAGATTTAATAATCTATGTGAATATGAGTTATTTTAAAAATGTGTTTCTGTGCTGCTTGATACAATACTATAAGTATTCATATCACCAATACAGGAATAGTTCTTGCTTAGAAGAACACACTTTGTTGTTCCTGGATATTGGAAGAGTAGTACTATTGTGCATAGTAATGTATTCCATTGGGAAAGGGAAGTACAGCACAGTACGTAAAGCATTTGACCCTTCTTTCATCAGTAGTATTTCCCTGGTGGCTAGGGAACAACAGAGCTCTCATTACTTAAAGATGCTTATCATCCTTTGGGAATTATGCTGCATATTTTTTGCTTCAAGAACTTATGCTTTATCCGTATGGAGGGAAGTTAGCTAATGTGTGAGATGTTAGTATAATCCGGTTTACTTGATGGAATGTGAACAGAGATCATAAGTATAAGGCACACAATGGGAATATGCTTATCTTGTTTAGTGTTTTAATCTGTGCCTTTAAAACCCTGCAATTAAAAGATAAAGCTTTGAAGCTGCTACAGGTCTGCCTGAAATGACTTTTCTGCATTTTTTTTTTCCTGCTGTATTTTTGCTGCTCCTTATGCAGTGAATCATCCATGGCTCTACCCAGTGTAACATAATAAGTGCTTCGGTTAATAAATAGCTGGTCAGAAAATCAGTTTGTCCTTGGTAATATAGCAGCCATTTTACTTAGTATATGAATTCCATTGGTGTGACAAATGCTGCAGTAGCTTAAGTTGAAAACCAAAAATGCTTGCAGAACTCATGCTGCTAAACTGTTTTAAAGAATAATGTGTGTAAATGCTGCAAGATTGTCACCTATTCACAGGTGTCTCACTTGTACGTGGGAATATGCAGTATTGAAGTCAGTGAACAAAAGTATATATGCATAGGATTCTGTTATATATCTGATGAAGTCACTTCTTTTCAAATTGTATTCTGGAGAGCTGGGGAATTACTTGGAAACATGCCAGGAGTTTTTCCATTGAGAAGATCAGCGCAGCAACAGACTCCCTTGAAAGATAGCTTATACACAGCTACAGATTTTCCTCTTCAGTTGTAGCCAGCCATAAAAGAGTGTTGGATGTGTTCTAGGCTGTAGGCTTAAGGTCGTATGGGACAATGATAATGCCTGCAGGACTGGTAATGCTCTGATTAACATTCCCCAGAATGCATTGAGGTTCCAGGGGAACAAGTTGTTTTGCAAGGGTTCACCAAATGTCAGATTTAAGAAAAGCTGACTTATTATATGGAACTTCACAAAGAATTGCAGCCCCAGATTGTACTTGCATATACCTTCCGTGTGTAATTGTTGCTCCATTACATCTGCTCTGACTAGTTTGTTGTGGTTTGCAAGCTACACTACTTGCTAGACTTCTTTTCTCTCATCTTGTTTGCTCTCTTCATTGAGAGCTGGAATGTATGCTCTGGAATCTCTTTTTCTTTTTGTAATTTCTGTGCTCATTTATCCAATTCTAGGTAATATATAATAAAAATGAATTCAGTAGCAGCGGGGAGACATACTTTCTGAAAATAGATTCATTTTCTTTGGGTAACATGACTTATTGCTCACTGAATATCTGCTGGCCTATGATGGGCGTAGGTGAGTTTTACAGGAGTTGATAATTAAAGTTCAGAACTACAACAAGAAAAGTTCTGCCTTGAATCTTCTATACTTGTGACTCTCAAATTGATGGATCCTAGCTCTTTCAGGCTCTTTGGGATGAGCAAACATGATTGTACATTGATCTTGACAGAATCTCTGAATCCTTGGTTATATAAGCTTTCTGCAAAACCACATGAAAGCTAAGATACTGTACATTTTGAATGGAAATTAAACTTTGGAAAGTTAAACTTTTAGTTGGAAAAATAGGTCTGGTTTGTAGCTATTGCTAGGCTATCTGGGAACATACAAGGGAAACTTTAAACAATGTTGCCTCCTTTATCAGCAGTTAGTAATCCCAGTTCTTGCTCAGCTGACAGCCCTGTTCTTACATATAAATTGTGTATTGCTGTCCCAGACTAACATGATCACTTGTCCTCTTCATCTGATCAGTCCCCTACAAAGGGGCAGCTTGAATATTACTACCTACAAGTGGGGCCTTCAAGATTTCCGGGGGGGGAATCCCATCCCCCCACTTTCTTGCTGGACCTAGTGTGGCCCCTGCAGCTGCTGCTGGGCCCAATGTCTCCCCCAGGGGGTCCCCTAGATTTGCAGAAACATCTGTTTAGTGCAAATGACGCTCCAATCTGTGGATATAAGTATATGCAGATAGGGGGCACACTTGGGAATTAGATAGATGTTACTGTGAGCTGGTGCATAAAGTCAGCAGAACTCTCCTTTCAGCCAGTCAGTAGTCTCTCATACTTCTGGGAAACAGCAAATAACATAAATTGCAGTCATTATTGGTGTGCATAAGAATGAAAATAAAACAAAAATCTAGCAGTACCTTAAAAATTAGCAACATTTTTGGTATTTTTGATGTAGTATTAAAACTTTAAAAAAAATTAAAAAAAAATTAGCAACACATTTTAGCATGAACTTTCACAGGCCATAGCCCACTGTGTCAGATAGATATGGGCTGTGATCCTTGAACGCTCATATTAAAATAAATGTCAGTCATTAAAGTGCCACTAGATTTTTATTTTATTTTGGTACAATAGACTAACATGGTGTGATGACCCCTTAACTGGGGAGGTCTGGGTTTACTTTAAAATGTTCTTTC